CTGTCTGGGCATGGCAACATGGCTCCTGTCTGGGCATGGCAACATGGCTCCGGCAGGCCTTGTCCTTCTCCCCATTCCCTCTGCTTTACTAAAATTCCTTAGATTACATTCCTAAAGCTTGACTTTTTCTACTATGTGGAGTCTTCTTTTCCCATTCTTTATCCCTCCAGTTTCACCCCCTATCACTAGACAGGAGAGAGAGAGAAAGATGGGGAGGGGGTATCTTTGAATCTAGTTTCTTTTTTCTCCTTTGTTTGTAGCTGGTCTTTGTTACTTTGTGGCTTCTTCTTTTCTCACCTTTTATCCCCCGTTTCACCCTCTATCACCAGATAGGAAAGAGAGAAAGAGAAAGATTCCTGAGTCTAATTTCTTTCTTCTTTGTGGCTACTAGCAAACCGCAAACAACCCCCCTGAATGACCAACAACCACCAACCCTACCTAACTGGGCTCTAGCATTTATATACCCTCTGAAAAATTCCCAGAATTCCATGTCACACAATTGCAGAAACCATCTGCAGCTGACAGAACCACGCCTCCGTCAGAGCACAAGGCAAGTCATAGTCAGCTGCTGCAAAGCAGCCCCCTACCCCACACCTGGGATTTAAACAACAAAACACATTCTTTTTTTTCACATTCTTATAATATATCTGTGTTTTTAAAAGAAAGCAAAATTCCAAAATGCTTACTACAAGCTTCCAAGTCTATTTCCTTGCCTAGCCACGTCCTCTCCCTGAGGCAGACTACTAAGGTCCGGCTATCACAGTATTGAAGCTCAGCAATCAAAAGCCTCCTTTGGATCACCTGTTAATTAAATTAAGCACCTCATCCTATTATGGGGTGTCTTGCCTTTATACACCGCCATTTGCCTCTGGGCCACACTTTGTCCTCTCTGTCAAGAGGCTGTCTTTTATTCCACTCTGAGACAACAACCCCTCCTCCCTTGTTCCCTTCCCCTTCTCCCTTGTCCCCTGTCTCCCATCTCTGTCTCTTTTTCCCTGCCCTTTGACCCTCTGGGCAAATAATCTCCTTTGTGCTGAGAACTTGGTCTTGGGGGTGCTGTGCTGTTATTGGTCTCTTACAGAAACTGCAGGAAGTCCATCCCAGACTGTCTGGTGCTCCCCAGGTGGCACCTGAATGGCTACATCTGAGATCACATGGGTATAGCACAGATGAGTAAGAAGGGGATGAGGTGGCGTGCTTGGGTTGCACAGCGCTGGGCCTCCCACACCGCAGGAAGAACGGCTAGGACAGAAGAGCCTGTTATGTCTTGGGGGCTTTGGCAGTTTTGTATGTGCCCACTTTGGGGCCGTATTAGTCAGCTTCAAGTTACAGCAATGACGTATCAAGGCAACCCAAATATAAAGAGAAAGGTTTGTTTAGCCCAGAATTCTGGACATGTCACCCCTGTAGGCCTCTGCGAGGGCGCATCACGCTGGGAGCGCCTGGAGGAGAGGACCCTTGGCCTCATGAAGCGCGAAGCAGGGAGGATGAAAGACTGGGCCCCACAGCTGCTTTAGGAGTCTGTCCCCACAGCCCAAGAATCCCACATACAGTCGTTGTCTTAGTTCGGGTTCTGTTGCTGGGAAGAGACGCCGTGACCACAACAGCTCTCATAAAGGAAAGCATTTAACTGGGGCTGGCTTCAGAGGTTTCCTCCATCATTGTCACGCAGGAAGCATGGCGCCACGCAGGCAGACTTGGTGCTGGAGAAGGAGCTGAGAGCTCTACATCTTGATCCACAGGCAGCAAAAGAAGGCTCCGTCACAGTTGGCCAGACCTGAGCTTATAAGACCTCCAAGCCCACCCCCAGGGACACACTTCCCCAACAAGGCCACACCTCCTACTATCGCTACACCCTATGGGCCAAGCGTTCACACACAGGAGCCTATGGGGACCATTCCTGTTTACACCAGCGCGGTCATTTTTTTAAAGGGTCAGAGCATCTGCCCGGAACACCCTAAGAACTAAGTCTTTAACTTACAGACTTTAGGGCTACTCATCTAAACTATAGAAATAGTACAAAAAGAGAGGCAGCTCAGTTGTAGAACGTGATGTGTAAGTTTCCTCTGAGAAAGAAACTTTCTGGTCTGCAGGAACGCTCCTTAAGCAGGAATGTAGCCATCTCAAAACATTTCAGGAAGTCCTTGGAACCTACCAGATTCACTAGCACCTCCCAAAGTACAGGACCTGAGCTGCTCAGGAACCCCAAGACCAAGTTCTCAGCACAAAGGAGATTTATTTGCCCCAAAGAGGACAAAGGGAATAAGAGACAAAGACAGGAGGTAGAAGATGAGGGAGAAGAGAAAGGGAACAAGGGAGAGGCAGAAGGGATATCTATCCCAGAGGGACAAAGAACTGCCTCTGGATAGAGAGGAGACAGACGTGGCCCACAGAAAAATGGCCGCTTATAGAGGTACAAGGGGAAATCATGAATTAGGACAAGGTGTTTAATTTTAATTGGGCATGTTAATTAGGTGATCTTTTGATTGCTGGACTTCAATATGTTGATAGCTGGATCTGGATCTTGGTAGTCAGCCTCAGGAGGAGGAAGTGGCCAAATAAGGGAATAGACTTTGGTGACCAGCTTTAGGAATGTAATGTTTTGTTTTCAGCAAGGCAGAGGGAGTCAGGAAGAAAAGCAGGGCTTGTCAGAGCCATGTTTGCCGGGCTTGGGCCTTCTAGAGCCCCTGCAGCTAGAGTGAAAGAGATTGCTGGAAGGTGGAAGAGACATCTATAATTTGTAGATGACCTTGTGGATGGAGATCCCTTTTATGAATCGCCTCTCTCCCCCCCTCCTCTCTCCGTCTATCTGAACGTGTGTGCCTACAGGAGTTCATGGGTGCCTTTTCTGTTCAGGTGCCCCCGAGGTCAGAAGCGGGCCCCGGGTCTCCTGGAAATGGCAGTGCTGGAGGCATCTGGTGTGTGTGGGGACCTGAACCTGTGTCCTCAGCCAGAGCGTGTCTCGGCATCTCAGCCGCTGAACCGCTGCTGCAGCCCCTGTCTGTTACGAGGAAGGAGAGGCCCAGGGGCGACGCTGGTCAGCACCACGGACAGCACGGCACCAGGAGGGAGCGGGGCCAGCAAGCTCAGTGTACTGCCACAGAGCAGAGTTACTGCAGGCTGTCTTCTGATCCTCACATCCGCGCGTGAGGCTCTGGATGCCCACAGGCTCCGGCAGGGAGCACTGGGTCTCCTGGAGCGGGGAGATGCAACCAGCCCTCACAGCCTGACAAGCTCAGGGCATACCCTTTGCCAGTCTTTCCCTGGGACAGAAGACACAACCTTCCTGTGGCTAATAGCTCTTAGTTTGAGGTACCTGTCTCCTCCATGCTTTTTGTTGGACAGTGTTGAATAAATCACAGGATGAAAAACCTCCCACCAGACCCCTCAAAACTTAAAAAGCCAGGTGTTTTCTTTGGGGATTTATCTAAACACTCCGTCCCATTCCTATTCCTCTCATGGTAACACATGCTCGCTCTCTCTCACTTTCTCTCTCATTCTCCCTCTCTCTCCTTCCCTCTCTCTTATTTTCACTTTAAAATTTTTACTTTTTAAGGCAGAGAGATGCTGTGACAGTTTGGAATATATGTTGTTCAGGCAGCCTGTAACTCTAGCTCCAGAAGATCCAATACTTGTTTTTTGTTTTTTTTGTTTTTTTTTTCAAAATAGGGTTTCTCTGTGTGGCCTTGGCTGTCCTGGACTTGCTTTGTAGACTGTAGGCTTAGATTTTCCACCAAACCTGCTTTATTTAGGGTTCTGCAACACCTTCTGCCTCCCTCCCACCCACTGACCAGAGGTGGGGGAGAAGAAGGCTGCTAGGTAAAAGGGCTGTAAACCTTTTTAGACATAGGTCCTTGGGGTGAGTGTGCTCTCTGTTGTCCGAGACCAGATACCAACACCACACCAAACAGCAGCACGGATTGGCACAATTCAGCAGATCGGGACAAGTCAGTGAAAGCCAAAAGACTCAGCTGGATTGCCCCAAGCTCTCTGGGACATTTCTGTCTGCGAAGTCAGGTGCCGAAGCACGAAGAGGAACGCAGTGAGGTCAGTCCATAGAGTGTTGTCTCTATGGAGCCATGGGCTCCTATGTATCTCTTCTTCCCATCGTCCACCCACGGAGGTTCTCAGCTGGCTAAAGTCTTGCAGCAAGACATCATGCGCTCTCTCACAAGACAGCTTCTAGCAAAACATCACATGACACATATGAGTCTTCAAAAAAAAAAAAAACAAAAACAAAAACAAAACAAGTTTCCAATTCATAGACCAGGCTGGCCTCGAACTCACCAAGCTGCCTGCCTCTGCCTCCCTGAGTGCCGGGATCCCAGGCGTGTGCCACCGTGACTGGCATTTCTCTATACATTTATTTTTAGGTCTTACATATGTATGCGTCCCAGCGTATGTATGTGTGCCACAGGCACGTAGGTGCCCCGAGCACCACCCGAGAGTGTTGGATCCCTGGAGCTGTAGCCACAGATGGTCACGAGCCTCTGACATGGCAGCCAAGCTCAGGCCATCTGCTGGAGCTCTTAGCGTCCCAACCATCTCCCAGCCTCTTATTGCCACTCTGGATGAAGCTCTCCTCCCAGCTTTGAAGGGAAGCCTCTCCCATCCCTTCAGCTCATGTTGAGCCATTTAAAGATACACAGTTTTTTTTCTTTCTAAGGATCTTGCAGTTCAAGGTCCAAACATGGTGTTGAGCCCTTTCTCCTCATAAACCTGAAGGGTCACTATGGGTTGGCTCAGGCTCCTTTCCCTGAGCCATCAAGGGCTGATTCATTTTCTTCTGTTTCACAGTAAGAGAGAGGGGAGAAATTGCTGGTGATGTTGTGGGTATGGGGTCACTCAGAGACTTGTCTGTCTGAGCATGAGCACATTCTAACAAATAAGAGGCTTTTATGTAGATACTGGCATCATGGCTGGCACATGGCTCCTGGCCCACCCCGGGAGTGTGCCCAAGATGCAGCCCCAGCTGTTAGGAGTTTACAAAGTCAAAACACACCACGTTAAAGCTTTTGGGATCCGGTCCCTCACGTCCTGCTTTGCAGAGGCAGGGACTGACTCTAGATGTTTGCAGACCCCCTCAGCTATCTTGAGCAACCAAGCAGTTTTCACAAGAGCAAAACAAGCAATTACCTCCTATGACTCTTTGTCTTGTAAGAACAGCTGAGGTGGCAAAAGATTTTACAAGACCAGATAGTTAAAAAAAAAAAAAAAAAAAAAGATTGATTTATGGGGCTAGAGAGATGGCTCAGAGGTTAAGAACACTCACTGTTCTTCCAAAGGTCCTGAATTCGATTCCCAGCAACCATCTATATGGCGGCTCATAACCATCTATAGTAAGATCTGGTGTGCAGGCAGAATGTTGTATAAATAAGTAAATCTTTAAAAACAGATTGATTTATGTATATGAGTGCTTTGTCATCATGAACTTCTGCAACCCTGGAAGAAGGCATCAGATCCCATTACAGATGGTTGTGAGCCATCATGTGGTCACTGGGAATTGAACTCTGGCGCTCTGGAAGCTCAGTCACCGCTCTTAACCACTGAGCCATTTTTCCAGCCCCCAAGACTGGACAACAATTTTTAAGACAAGCCCAACAATTCTAGGAAACGGGAAGTGGGCTGACAGGGCACAGCTTGTGCAAACTAGGGGCTTACATGCTAGGGGCACTTTGTTTACACACACATCTTGAGCACAGTAATTAAAACCTTAAGTGTAAGGTTAGCCAACACAGCCCCCCACCCCCAAGGAGTCCTTACTCCACCGCTGAGCAGCATGCAAAAGAACAGCACGTGACCTCTCTCCAGCGTTAGGTCGGAGAATCAGTGAAGGAAGACCCCAGACCCAAAAGCGAGGAGTGTTTATTCTGCAAGTTCCAGCGTGCAGGGGCCACCAGAGAACGGAGACCCTTAAGAGAACTCGCTGGCTCAAGGGAAAGGCAGTTAGGGGATTTCCCAGTGTGGTTGGGTAATCTTTGCACGGATTGGTTGGCGCTGATCTAGGGGGTGTGGGGGCAGGGCGGGGCGGATGATTGGTTCTGAAGTTGGGGGACTTCTTGGGGTGTCCAGGTAACAAAGTATCAACTTGACTAACTAGACAAAGCATTTCTAAAGGACCTTTAATTTGGCTGGTCAAACGACTGGAGACTTTGCAAACCGGTTTCTACATTACTGTTTCTCATTTCAAGGGAGGTTATTGAGTTATTGTATCCGGTTTCCATGGACTATAGTTTGGTGTTCAGGGAACCAGAAACTCAGGCCTGTTCAGTCTGAAGCCAGTTTTGAAGCCTGTCACGGAGCCAGACTGGCTTATTAAAAACCATTCCCCTCATCAGTACAATATGCAAAAATAAACTTGAAACTGGACACAGAAGTAAAGTTTTAGAACGAAGCAGTAGTGACGTTATGGGTCTGGGTTCCAGAGAGTCCTCAGTCTGAACATGGTTTAATAAAGAAGAGGCTTTTTTCAGGTTCTGGGGCCATGTCTGCACCCCAGACTCGGGCTGGGGTTTCTGCAATGTAACTCCAGCTACATCAGTCAGGGGTTTATAAAGAAGTTGCATTCTTTGGGAGGGAGGGTGGGAGGGGGCTACATCTGGGATACAAAGTAAATAAACTGTGATTAATATGAAAAATAAAAACTTAATTAAAAAAAAAAAGAAGTTACATTCTGTTTTGCAAACAGAGAAGGTGGGGCAGGTGTCCTGATTATCTTGAGCAAAACAAGCTTTCCTTTGCGGAATCAGAAACAACAGTTAACCTAGTGACCTGCTATCTTGAATAAACAACGGTTTTTGTTAGACTTGTACAAGACCAGGCAGTTACAAAAACAACCCTTCCCAGTCCTTCACATTTGGTAGGTCCAATTTTGCTTTATAGTTCACCTAAGCACAATAATTTCAAACTTTGGTGCTTTTGTTTGGTTGGTTTTGGTTTTCCGAGACAGGGTTTCTCTGGGCAGCCCTAGCTGTCCTGGAACTTGCTCTGTAGACCAGGCTGGCCTCAGACTCACAGACATCTGCCTGTCTCTGCTGGGATATAAGGTGTGGGCGGCTGCCACCCGGAGCTTAGTGGTGTACCTAAGAGAGCTCATCCAAGATTTGTGGGGGCCCACACCCGTTAATCCCCTAGGCAGACCTCTGTGAGTTTGAGGTCAGACTGGTCTACACAGAGAGGTCCAGGCCAGATAGGGTTACACAATGAGACCCTGTCCTCAGTGAAGTTCTTTGGACATTTTCTGTAATCAATTAATTAGCCGATGAGGGTTTGGGTTTTGGTATTTCCGTGAACTCCGCTGGGATAAGCGGAGATCCACCTCCCTCTGCCTCCTACAAGTTGGGATTAGAATGTGCCTGCAGCTGTGTGCTCTTAATTTAGGAAAATTGGCTGGGCGAGGTGGCACACACCTGTAATCCCAGCACTCAGGGAGGCAGAGGCGGGCGGAGCTCTGTGAGTTCTTTTGAGGCCAGCCAAGGCTACAGGGAGAAACCCTGTCTCTAAAAACAAGCAAACAAAAAAAATATTTTGAGACAGCGCCCCAGTTTAGCGCCCAGGCTGACCTTGAATTTAAGTTTCCCATCTCACCCTTGTCCCCAGTGCAGAGACCATGGGCCGCTCGGCAGGACAGTAACCTTCTGCTTTTGTTTTGTTTTGGTTTTATGTTTTGTAACTCCAGCGTCCTACCTGACCACCCAAGTCAAAATGTGTTCTGTGGAACTTCCACCAGAAAGGATTATCCCTCCCGGATTAGGGAGGGTCGGGCCGAGTGGTGTTAAGATTTTATTTGAGTAGTCAAGACCTGCATCTCTGAGAACACAGTCTGGCTCGGAAACACGCAACTGTCCAGGAATCTGCTGCTCAGAGAGACAAACACCATGTCCGGTGAGTAAAGGGCAGGAGCCCGGGCCGGAGTGCAGGGGGCTGAGGGCTGCGGGGCTGTGGGGTGCAGGGCTGAGGGGTGCAGGGCTGTGGGGTGCAGGGCTGTGGGGTGTGGGGCTGAGGGGTGCAGGGCTGTGGGGCTGTGGGGTGTGGGGCTGTGGGGTGCGGGGCTGTGGGGTGCGGGGCTGCGAGTCGGACCGCGGGGGGCTATGGAATGCGGGGCTGCGGGGGTTCCACGATGACGGTGTCCAGCTCCTCCTGGGGTTCCACAGCCGGGTCCCATCAGGGCCACAGCTGTTTTCTCCCTGTCCTTCTTAGCTCCTGTCCTTTCCTATTTCTTTTGCCTACTGAGGCCAGAACCCGCGTAAGGATTGGCATGGCCGTGCCCAGCCGTCTGTTAAGCATTCTAATGCATTTCAAGCGTGTGTCCGCGGATGGGGTGTTTCTCGAGTGTTCCTGGAGACCAGAAGAGGGTGACTCAGAAGTCGCGGGTGCTGGGAACAGAGCTGGGGTCCTCTGTAAGAGCAGCACGGGCTCTTGACCGCAGAGCCATCTCTACAGTCCCATGAAATGTTTTTTAAAAATACATGTGTGGAGGCTGGAGAGCTGGCTCGGAGGTTAAGAGCACTAGTTGTTCTTCCAGACGACCTGAGTTCAATTCCCAGCACCCACATGGTGGCTCACAACCGTCTATAGTGAGATCTGGTGCCTCTTCTGGCAGAACACTGCAGGCAGAACACTGTATAAATAATAAATAAGTAAATATTTTTTTAAAAAAAGAAGATTTATTTATTATTTATACAGTGTTCTGCCTGCATGTGTGTCTGTAGGCCAGAAGAAGGCACATTATAGGTGGTTATGAGTCATCATGTGGCTGCTGGGAATGAACTCAGGACCTTTGGAAGAGCAGCCAGTGCTCTTAACCTCCGAGCCAGCTCTCCAGCCCCATAAATAAATCTTTTAAAAATTATTTTAAAAATATTACCTAAGCGGCCGTGGTGGCACACACCTTTAATCCCAGCACTCAGGACTCAGAGGCAGGCAAATCTCTGAGTTCAAGGCCAGCCAGGTCTACAGAGCTAGTTCCTGGACAGCCAGGGCTACACAGAGAAACCCTATACTAACCAACAAACCAACAAAGCACATTTTCCCATCTCCTACATCCCAGTTTTAAAAACAACTGTAATTGGTATATATTAATTGTACAAAATAATGAGTTTCTTCTTTTTATATACATTAGACGGTATTTACTGCCCCACTGTCGTCTCCAAGATCCCCTTCACCTCTCTGCTATGGTGCTCCTCTCTCTCTCTCCCTCCCTCCCTCTCCCTCTCTCTCTCCCTCTCTTTCCCTCTCCCTCCTTTTCCCCTCCGTCCTTCCCCCCCATGTTGGTTTTTCCCTTTCCCTTTCTTCCCCTCCCTTCCCTTACTGACAGGCTTTCTCTGTGTAACCCTGGCTGGCCTCAAACTCACTCTGTGTGGCCTAGAACTCACAGAGTTCTACCTACCCCTGGCCCCTAAGTGCTGGGATTAAAGATATGTGTTACCACCACTTGGCTCCTTTTTCTCTCCTTCCTTCCTTCCTTCCTTCCTTCCTTCCTTCCTTCCTTCCTTCC